TGTACAGTATGTGGAAAATAATGTGTTTTTTGAACCTTAAACCGCATAAACACATTTCATTACACCAAATACACCAAGTAATGTTCTTTTTAGCAACATCATATGACCCCTTTAAATCTGAATCACCCTTTCTTGCTCTTTTCCAGAGGTTCCTCAGCCAGAGCTGATGCTCACAACCATACGCGGCCGTGCAACAGTGGCAGGCCTGGACCCCAGACAGGAGTATCTCCTCCAAGTTATGGTGCTCAATGGGACACAGGAGAAGCTCATTGCAAAAAGACGCTTCACTGGTAAGAGTGGAGGATTAGAGGATGTTGCTATGTGGTTGTGAATGTGGTTAGAATTGTCCTAGGGTGCTGTTCGGTGGTGTAAGTTACAGTATGCCTTAAAGTTAAATTCAGATTAGAGGTTTCCCTTCTGATTTGTTGTTGGAGGTGGGGGATCTTCCCAAAGTGCTTTTTGTGCACAAGAAGCAGAAATCTGTACGTCGAAGTTCCCAGCGGTCATAAGCTTTCAGCACAAAGTTCCAAAGTACAGAAACAATCCCTTTTAACACATTACACACACACACACACACACACACACACACACACAGTGTTCAAAAGGGAACTGTCTGTAATTGACAGTGTGGAATGGTGGATTCCTGCTGGATTACAGCCTGGGACTGATGCTTGTGTCTTTACAGGCACAAAACACTTTTGGAATTCCCTTTAAAACACATTAATGTCCCACCAAAATGACCTCCCTGAAAGAAACCTGATATGAAATGATGAAATACCTGACTTAGCATTCAGATTTCACTCCAGCTGTATCTGTGCTAAAATAAGAATGTAAATACCAGTGATAAAAGTATTTCGTTATAGGAGATCAGATTTTATTCCATAATAGTCTGGTGTTGTCATTGTCAAAAGATGCAGACTATGCCAAACATCTGTGATATGTTGGGATGAAAGGTTGGAAGAGTAGGTTACTGTGTCGCCCCGTGCAGGTCTGGACAGGCCAGTCGTGTGGTTTGGCTAGAGGGCCATGCTTGCTTGTCTGAGGGGGATTATTCCATTGTTCCCTCATAAAAGCCTAAGCAATAACTCAGTTTTTCCATGTGGATCTGCTTATATGTCAGAAAGGTGTTAATAAAATGGGGCTTAAACACTTGTTTTATATTATAGGATTTACCTAATAGTTTACTAAATAAATCAGCAAAAATAGTTTACACACACTCTTTCCCTGTTCATCATTTCCTCTCAGTCGATGGGTTGCGTGAGGAAGAGCTGATCCGTAGTGGGAACAGAGAGCAGAAGAAAAAAACTCACTCCATTGGTTCTGGATCTGGAGAGGTGGATGACGTGACTGAGGCTCTAGCGGCCTTTCCCACTGTGCTCTACCGAGAACCAGCGACTACAGGTAGAGGATCTGCAAACATTGTCTGCCAGTTTCCTAGGAGTTAAATGCCTGTCCTGAGTTAAAAAGTTCTGTCCTGAAAGTCTAGATGGCGCAGGCTGATGGGTTGTTAAAGCAAACTGATGATATTCACAGCGTTAAACTATTTGGCACAAGCTGATTGGTTCATGTTGCATACGCAGCCAATGAGCTTACTGCTTTACATTTAAATGGCTGGTTAGCTTTCACTAGAGCATTTCCCTCCACCCTTCACCTTCCCCAGCTCCACCTGCATAGATCTGCTACGAGTTATTATATACAGTATGCTACTTGTGCAGCAGCAGTATATCTTAAATACTCACAGCACTGTATCGGGGTATGTATTGGCAGTAGCAAGTTCCTGTACTTGCTTTGCAGCAGCAGCAGCAATAATCTATAACAAAAGCAATAACCAACAGCAGCAGCAGCGTAGCAGATCTATTCCGCCAAGACCAAACACATTAACATTGTCATATCCATTACAATGCTAAAATCTTCTGAGATTTGTCGGGATAGAACTATGTATGTATTTGTCAATGTCAACACAATCTTTTGGGAAATAGGCTTTTAATGTTTTATATACTGCTGTTCAAAAGTTTGGGGTCAGTAATAAATATATATTTTTAAATGAATAAATATTTGTATTCTACAAGGATTCATTGCATTGCTCAAAAGTAACAGTAAAGACAAACATTGTTGAAAACAAATTCAGATAAATGTTGTCAAAGAATCCCAAAAAATAAAGTCAGAATCTGAATCAGAGGGAGCTTTATTACCAAGTATGTTTACACACACAAGGAATTTGACTTGGCGACAGGAGCTTCCGTATCACTGTTTCCACAAAAATATTAAGCATCACAACTGTTTTCAACATTGATAATAATAAAAATGTTTCTTGAGCAGAAAATCAGCATATTAGAATGTAATGTCTGAAAAAAATCAGCATGTCCGCACCGGAATAAATTACAATTTAAAATATATTAAAATGGAAAACAGTTATTTTAAATATAATTACATTTTGCAATATTACTGTTTTTTCTACGTTATTAATAATAAATGCAGCCTTGGTGAGTATAAGAGACTTCCTTCAAAAACAAATCTTACAGACCAAAAACGTTTGAACAGTAGTGTATATTTCTTAATATTGTGTTCTAGGCATAATTCTAGAGATTATCACATTAAATATGTGTTGATGTTGATATTTTATAGGTAATACATTTTCAGTATTTTTAGATTTATGATTTATGTTAATAATAATTGATTGCATTAAAGTATTTTTAGTGTGAAAGCTCGGTGTACACCTGCTGTTGCAGTTTTGGCTCCAAGCTCCATGTGTGAAACAGTGTTACTAAAATGAAGTATTAACAGCATAACATTTCTTAGTGACAAACCAAACATACTTTTATAGTTCCTGCCCAACTGGGTGTACAAAGCAGAGGAACTCTGTGCTGACCTTCCGTCCCGTAGTCTCTCTGTCATTATCAGCGTTTTACTGGTGGAGCTACAGATGGTTGAACTGGCGCCAGCTCTACTATCTAACCTATTAATAAGAGTCCATTCATCCCCCAAATGCCTGTAATTAATGCAGCTGTAATGGGACAGGGGACTGGACAAGGAGGGGAAGCTGCCCACCTGTGCTGAGTGTGCATTTAGAATGAGATGGAGTGTAGGAATACTACAGACACCATCACTCGCTATTGTTACTCATCTAACTGTCAGTGATTTTTTCAGTCAAAAATTTCAAATATTCTTCAGAAACCGTAACAGTACGGTAAACAGTAACCAAATTAACATACATTTTATTTAAGCTTTTGATATCATATAACAGTTTTTTTTTTTTGGATTTTTTTTTAGCTGCAGTATATTTAGCTATTTATCTTTAACTCATAATGTCTTTCTACTCCTATAGAGTCTCCTGCTGTACCTGAGCTTGAGCCAGAAGTTGACAGAAACACCAAAGAAAAGAAAAAGAAGAAAGACAAGAATCGATCCAAGACCGAGGATAAAAATGATCAAGAAGGAAATGGAGGGAAGTCGGTGAGAGAAGAGGTCACCATCACCAACAAACCGAGAAAACCCACCTCAACCCAAACTGTCACAGGTAATGCCACTCACATTTCAGATTAATTAAATCAATCAGATGGTCAAACAGTTAATGAAAAATCAATCCGTGCTCATTGTTATTGACCGCATATGCAAATATAAATGTAAAATGCACATTGACTGTGTTAGGGTCAGTGTTTAACAGAGTTAATGAGACGTGTTGATGTTTCCTGTGTCTGTGTAGTGAGGGCTAATAACAGAATTAGGGACAAAACAGAGTTAATGACACTGTGTAGGTTGTTATCAGGGCCTCTTGTGTGCCCTCAGGACTGAAATTTGTTCCCTCCTTCCTCCCATCTGTAAAAGAAACACACACATAGATGGGAATGCACCATTGAGGAACAGTATATGTATTGACAAATAGGATCTTGCAAATCATTGCAAAAATTGTTTTATATACGAGCAGAGAGGATTGCAAAATGTTTTCAGGTGTGAAAATACCCGTGAATACCCCTCACAGCAAAATATAACTACAAACATGCACAGTCTAAGAGACATTAAAAGACATTCTCACACTCAGTTTAAGTTCCACTGCTTAACGCTTGATGTTACCCTTTATTAAAACAGCGGTGTGTTGACTCTTGCCCATGTGTCTTAAGCTGTTTCCACACGAAAGCCGTTTGAATGCAGTGCTGGAGCTCAGGCTGATCTGGTCCTTTTGGTAGATGGATCCTGGAGCATCGGCCGCACAAACTTCAGAAAAGTGCGTGACTTCCTGGAGGGCCTGGCTGTCCCCTTTCACATTGGACCACAGGGTGTGCAAATAGGTGAGATGTTATTTCATATCATCTATATACATTGTATATGCATTGCAGTTTCAAAGCTGTGCATTTCAGTGTCCACATTTAAACTTTACTTAAATATTTACGTTTATACATTACCATTCAGTTTGGCATCTGTAAGAAATGTTATTAGAGTTGAAAATAACAGTTTTTTTATTTAACTATAGTTTAAAATGTGTCACATGATCCTTCAGAAATCATTCTAATACGCTGATTTGCTGTTTAAGTAACATTTCTAATTATTATCAATGTTGAAAACAGTTGTGCCGCTTAATATTTTTGTGGAAACTGTCATACATTTTTTCAGGATTCTTTGATATATAGAAAGTTCAAAATAAAGGATCAGCATTTATTTGGAATATAAATATTTTGTAACATTATAAATGTCTTTACTGTCACTTTTGATCAATTTAATGCATCCTTGCCGGTTAAAAGTATTAATTTGTTGTCATTTCAGCATTATCTCAGTACAGTGGAGATCCACGTACAGAGTGGCATCTTAATAACTTCACTTCTAGAGAGCCGCTCCTGGAGGCCATCAGGAACTTCAGATACAAGGGAGGCAACACTTTCACAGGTAACTGTAGATATTACGCCCAGTATATTTCTTAACAACCTGGGATTAATAAATATTCTAAAAAGGAAGGTTCAGAGTCTTAATTTCTGATTGGATGAGCCATATTCAGAGTTGTTGGACAATGCAGATAAATGCATCCCTGTGAATGCATATTGTCGAATAATGTACATTGCTAGGCAACCTTAAAGATAAGCATTTACCTGTAAATATACCTTCATATTTTAGTTATTGGACTGATACTGATAACATTAACAAGCTACATTTACAGGATAGAACCAGTATAACCAATGTCATGCATCCTTTAATATCTATTGAACATTTATGTTTTTTTTATAATATTGTTGTTGTCACCATTTATAAGCAATTATTTTTTTTTACCACGGTAAAGAGGGTTTTAGGCAGTCTGATTTGCATTATATACATCAAACACATCTTGTTCACTGTAAAGTTACTAAATGCACAGCATCTTCTGGCTTATTGTTTTTTGTTACCTAATAATCTGAATCCTATTGACTTAATCCTATATGAAACCAATACGAGAGTTTTTCTGCAAATTTGAACATCTTCCCTGTTCATTTTTAACATTATAATGTCATTATTTCAGGTCAGGCTCTCATACATGCTCTTGAGAACAATCTGAAGAAGGAGGTGGGGGCACGACCCAACACCCCACAGTTCCTGCTGCTGCTGACTGATGGGAAATCTCAGGATGATGCTATTGCTGCAGCCAACAGGCTGAAGAATTCCGGCATAGAGATCATTGCTATAGGTGAGAGCCTCTTTTAGCAAATTACACATTAAGTGTAATGAATTTCAGAGATGCTTTGTGAAGATGAATGCTGTTTGCTAATGAATACGCAACAGTTCAAAAGTTTAGTCAGTAAAATCTTTTATGTTTTTGAAAAGTCTCTTTTGCTCACCAAGGCTGCATTTCTTGGATCAAAAATATAATCAAAACAGTAATATAGTGAAATGTTATTATAATTTACAATAACTGATTTTTTTATTTGAATATATTTTAAAATGTAATTTATTCCTGTGATGGCAAAGCTGAATTTTCAGCATCATTACTCCAGTCTTCAGTTTCACATGATCCTTCAGAAATTATTTTAGTATGCTGATTTTGTGGTCAAGAAACATTTCTTGTGAGTGCATTAACTTGGTCGTTTAAATGCAGAGGACAAATTCTGATTATGGGTTACCATACTTGGCCTTCATTTCACATTCACGTTGAATATAAAGTTCAAAAGAACAGCATTTATTTGAAATATAAATCTTATGTAACATCATCACTTTGTCACTTTTGTTTTTAACAATTTTATGCATGTTTGCTGAATACAAGTGTTGTTACTTTAAAAAAAATCTTACTGGTCCCAATCTTTTGAATGGTAGTGTAAATACTGTATATGTTAGTGCATACTGAAATGACCTATAGTTATGTGTATATTAACATATAAAGTTTTCTTTCTTTCTTTCTTTCCCACTCATGTCCAGGTGTGAAAAATGCAGATGAGGCAGAGTTGAGGCAGGTGGCGTCTGAACCGCTGGAGCTAAATGTGTATAATGTGAATGATTTTCCTCTGCTCAGTAAACTGGTGGGAAGACTAGCACGCATCCTCTGTGGCAAGATTGAAGACCGCATTAAAGCGAAGAGTAGGTCAATCACACACACATTAGCCTTCATTATATTGATCTGACAGGTTTCTACCACATACCCCCATTAAAACAAAACGGTATGTGTCTTTTGCGAGAAGGAATAGAGCGTCCCACTCAGGACCCAGTTCTGTCCTATCCCAGCCCAACTGATCTGCAGTATGTAGGACTAGGCTCAAGAGAGGTGCGCCTGCATTGGACCGTCCCCAGCAAAAGACCTCAGCAATACAGAGTGGTGTACCACACCGCTGAAGGACAGAGTCTGAAAGAGGTGAGACAGGCGTCAAAGAGACCCTCCTCCAAACAATAAGAAGTTAGTCTGTTAGACTAAGGCTGCGTCTGAAATCGCATACTCTCTAAGTACTTCATTTGAATAAGTATACATTGTGACCGTTAAAAAAGTTTGTTATATAGCAGGAATGTGTCAGTTTTAATTAATGTACTACATAATTTACTACAGTTGCATCACTTCACTCCCATTCACAACTTCTCTCCCGGGGCCTCGTGGGATAGTAAGTGTCCACTGGATGCACACTTTAGAATCTCACCAGAAATAATAGGTCATCCGGGGATTTTTTCCAACTGTTTTATGCAAACTGTGAGTTGGGACATACTCTTTTCACATACTGTTTTCACCTCCTATATAGTAGGGAAGTACTGTATGCTGCCTAAAAGTTGGTATCTCCCAGCCATTAGTACACGCTGGAGACTGGTATCCTGTAAAGATGCTAAAAGCTGGAATTGCTTGTATCATATCGCTGTGGTTTACTTTTGAGCACCAGGAACTGATGAAACATTCCACCTACTGGACGTTTTCTATGCTGTAATTAATATTGCATTCAGAAGACTATTTTGTGTGATTTAGAAGCATGTTTTTGACTTATCTCAGGTGGTGGTGAATGGAACTGACTCCACAGCTCTGCTGACAGGACTGTCTTCACAGACACAATACCACCTGTCCATCTTTCCTGTCTATGAGAACAATGTGGGCTCTGCTTTGAGAGGCACCTTCACCACATGTGAGTTTCAGCACTCAAAATGCTCATTCATAACATTTCCTGATCTATAGATAAAAAGCCCAAGACCACACTGAAAATCTGGGATTCAAAACTTGGAAGCAGAAAGTTTTAGGATTTTGCAACTGGAAAACAAATATTATGACAAAAATGAATAAGAAATATTTCAGATTCTGCACTATTTCTAGGTCACTAATCAAATAAGCACATTTATGACACTGATCATGTGACTCTTTGTACATTCAATCAGATGTTCTTCCATTGAAGCTTAATATGTTCTTATTATTCTCAAATCATTCTGGAGAACTTGATCATCAGATTTCTCACAAACTTGTGGAGTTCTCCTCTTTAGCTTGCTTTTCTTCTCTTCTCTAGCTGACCTCATAATCTAGTTGTCTAAAAAAAACTAGAATTGTTTTTTTGTAAGTTGGTTTGGATAAAACTCTCATAAATTATGATAATGTAATTTGGTCTCAGAGGTTTAGACCCCACTGCATATCATAATAAATGTTCTCCTCATTAAAGTACCATTGGCGATACCTGAGGCTCTAGAGGTCACCGCTTCCTCCCCTAACAGTCTGCGGGTGCGCTGGCAGCCGGCCGCAGGAGCCACACAGTACATGGCCTTATATTCAGCACTCAATGATGGAGAGCCTGATGATGCCAAAGAGGTGAGTCTGGGATCATGTGGCATCTCACCATGTGGCTCGGTGTTTCTAATTATGTTACAATGGTGTGATGCCGTTCCTATGCTCTTGTCTTTTGTTCCAGGTTAAGTTTGGACCTGCTCAGACGGATGTGGAGTTGGTGGATCTGATGCCATCCACAGATTATTCAGTCACACTTTATGCTCTGTATGATGAGGATCCCAGTGACCCAATCACAGCCATCGGCACCACCTGTAAATACAGATTCATTATCAGCACTTTCATAAAAACAGATCACACTCTATACAGAGGTCTGTGCGAGACTCATTTTCCCATCAAGCTCACACACACTTTTATCCAGGTCCTGGATAGGTTTGACAAATCTTGTTAAAGGGATAGTTCTCACAAAATTTAAAAATTCTGCTCTTTGAAAAAATGTACTCACCCTCATGTCGTTCCACATCTGTATGACTTTATTCTCTGGAATGTAAAATAAGCTATTCTGTTTTTTGTCTATACTGTTGAAGCCAATAGGCAGCAAATCTGTTTGACTAACAAAATTTTTCATAATAGCTTCTTTTGTGTTCTGCAAAAGAAAAAAAGTAATGCAAGTTTGCAATGACATCATGGTGAGTAAATGTTGACAATTTTCATTTTTGGGAGAACTATACCTTTAATAATGTCTTAATCCTAACTGCAGATAGACTTCATTTCTGTCATTAAGCACCATAAATTAGATTAGAAAAACAGATGGCTGCTTCTCATGTTTAAAATAACCTAAAGTGACATGTGTGACCAAGTGGTCACCCATACTTGGAATTTCGCTCTGCATTTTACCAATCCAAGTGCACACACATACAGCAGTGAGTAGTGAATGAATACACACACACACACACACACACCATGAACACACACCTGGCGCAGTGGGCAGCCATTTTTTGCTGCAGTACCCAGGGAGCAATTGGGAGTATTGTGGGTGCAAGAGAGCGCTGTTCATTCACTTCCCGCACCGACATTTCCTGACGGTACTGATAACTGAACCCATGATCTTCCTTTTTGTTCCTCAAAGATAAAAATAACATGAAACTTGAATGGAAACTGTCAGCCAGTATGTGGTGGTAAAATGTCTACACCAACTGTTTCTGCTCTGGACACAAATGCTGCAGCTCTTTTGAAAGAAGGACTTTTGTGAACCCTTTTGTGACTGACATAAAAGAATCACTGAATCATTTTGAAGCAATTAATTGAAATGAACTGGAACTGATTCATAATGCAGTAATAACAAAATAGCATTTTTTACTTTTCAAACTCCCATGCTCAGCTCTTGACCCTGTCATACACCCTCTAACTCAGAAGTTGAGTTTCTTGCCACACCAAATCAAACTGAGTCCCATGCAGACCTCTTTCTCTAAGTTTTTTGCTCATTCCCTCTGTTCTTTCACTCGTCTGTCTGTTTTTTTCAGTCCCATTGCCATCTCCTCTCAGTTTGCAGTTTCCCATGGTCAGTCACAGCACTCTGAAGATCACGTGGGTCCCTGGAGCTGTAGATGTTCCTGCACACCGCATCATCTACAGCACCAATCACGGCAGTGACGTCAAGCAGGTGAGCAACTCAACTCAACTCAACTCAAACTGTATTTATAAAGCACTTTCAACACCACGACTGGAACCAAAGTGCTGTACAGAGAACACCATTTTTTTTAAGGAGGGGCTGAATAACAGCATTCTTAAAACTAACGGGAACAACACCAGATGAGAGACTACTATTCAAAATAGTCAGAATACTTGGACCAATAGTGTCAAAATCCCAGCAGATCCCAGAAGTCACTTGTTAGGTTTTTGATGTTCCACCGAAACCTCTTTGAGTCTTCTTTCTTGTCACATTTTAGTAATACTTGTACAGATTGTTACACTACTGTTCAAAGACTTGAGAAATAAATACTTTTATTTAGCAATGACCAGTGCTTGAAGTGGGCCGGTACGCACCGGTACGCAGTACCGGCACTTCAATATTTTAGTCTTTTGCGTACTGGCACTTCTGACATGTTGCCGGTACTGTACCGGCACTTCTTTTTTCCCACTTCAAGCACTGGCAATGACTCATTAAATTGATCAAAAGTGATGGTAAAGACTTTAATAATGTTTCAAACATTTCCATTTCAAATAAATGCTAATCTTTTGAATGTCCTATTCATCAAAGAATTCTGGAAAAAAAAAGTATCACAGTTTCCACAAAAATATTAAGCAGCACAACTGTTTTGAACATTGATGATAATAATAAATGCACCAAATCAGCGTATTTGAATGATTTCTGAAGGATCATGTTACAAGACTGGAGTAATGGCTGCTGAAAATTCAGCTTTGCGTCACAGGAATAAATTAAATTTTAAAATAGATTCAAATAGAAAACAGTTGTTTTTAAATTGTAATACAATTTCACAATATTACTGCAATTTTCGATCAGATAAATGCAGCCTTGGTGAGAATAAGAGACTTCTTTCAAATCCATTAAAAAAAACTTAACTCCAAACCTTTGAGCAGTATTGTATGTCTCATTTATTCTCTCTGTTTCTCAGGTGGAGGTCAAAGGTGTGAACACAGTGTTGCTGCAGAATCTGTCTTCCCTCTCTAGGTATCTGGTGTCAGTGCAGTCTCTCTACGAAAAGGGCCTGTCCACTCCTATCACAGCCAATGTCACTACCTGTAAGTTACACACATGTTTTATTTTGTTACTCCAATTTGGAAGATGTTGTTGATATGCTCTTTGATCTTCTAGTAAGGGTCCCAGCTCCCTCAGATCTGAGAGTCACTAACTTCTCTGGCAGTGACTTAACAGTGCGATGGGAAGCTGCAGCAGATGACGTGGTCTCCTATCTCATCAAATGGATCTCTCTCAGTGAAGGAGACCTCAGACAGGTTAGATCCAACTCTTTCACTTCCTGTGTTATGTCTGTGCAGTCAATACTGATTGAAATAGCTACATAAATGTGTGCTTTAGCCTGTATAATAAGGTAATAATAAGTGGTAATTCATGGACATATTGCAGTTGACAGTAGATGGGGAGAGTGAGGGGGCAATCTTGGAAGAGGTTGAAGAAGATAAGGAATATCAGATTTCACTCTCTGCATTATATGCCGATGGTGCTCAGAGTGAGGCTGTGGCCATACGATACAGCACCTGTGAGTATATGCACTTATATACGCACGTGATACCTTTGATTACAACACGTGAATAACTGTGTTGCATTTTTTGTACTGCTTTAGTATCTGGAGGCGGTCCGAGCAGTTTATCCATTTCAGAGGAGACAGCAGTCAGTATGCTGGTCACCTGGGTTCACCCCAACGCCCATGTGCTGCAGTACCGTGTGTCATACACTCCACTTAATGGGGATGTGAGGGAAAACACAGTGAGTGCTTTTAGAAGAGTGAAACCTCTTATTTTGTATTGCCTGTGTGTATTTGAATTGTCTTATCTCCATCTATGTGCCCTATAGATTCCATTTTTAGGGACCATAGAGACTTGGGTAGCCTACTTGGGCTATTATGGCAACCACCCAGAACCATTTAGAAAAAAGGCATTTAAAACCACTCAGGCCACTTTAGCAACCGCACTGCAATAGCTTGACAACCACCCACAACACCTGAAGATTGTGGCGTTGACTTATGAATGGGCAAACACCAGTCGTATTTCTTCAGACAACGTAAAGATCTATTTCTTACCAAATAAATGAAAACATATGATAACTGAAATAAAAACATAACTGGAAAAAAACATTTAAATTACAAAACAATTCAGTGACTCTCAAATTAATAAAATAACAATGACCTCAAAATCAAGTTGATTACTCAATCTTGATAGTGATAACACTAGATGGCCCTGAGAAATGTAACACTGTTATATATTAATTTATTATTATATTATAATATTGATATCACACCATATGATATCACACCATTCAAAAGTGTTAAGATTTAAAAAAAAAAAAGAAAAGAAAAAGGATGCATTAAACTGATCAAAAGTGGCAGTAAGGATATAGTAATATTTATATTTATATTTCAAACAAATGCTGTTCTTTTGAACTTTCTATTAATCAAAGAATCCTGAATAAAATGTATCACAGTTTTCACAAAAATATTAGACAGCACAACTGTTTTCAACATTGATAATAAGAAATGTTTCTTGAGCACCAAATCATCCTATATTTTTTTCCACTGAAGACTGCTGAAAATTCAGCTTTGCATCAGAGGAATAAATTACATTTTAAAATAGAAAATGACAAAAAAAGAAAAGAAAACTGAACTAACGGATAAATTGAAAATGAAAATAGAAATAAAAACTAAATTCAAAACTATAATAGCCCTGGAGCATCTCACTATTGCTTAATATGTTTGTTGTGTTTTTTAAATGAGGTGAGGTGTAATGTTGTCATGTTGGTTAAATAGGTGTCATTGCCAGGCAGCGAGAGGCGCGTCCTGCTGCAGAATCTGCTGCCTGACACTCGTTACAGTGTGCTGGTGACTGCTGAGTACCGCAACAGAGAGGGTGGCAGCGCCTCAGCACAGGGGAAGACCAGTGAGTCTCACACACACACATCAATACAGTATCTCTAGTGTGTGCTGACCAAGTATATACTTTCCACTTGACACTGCACTTCCAGACTGTGTCTTGTATTTAATCTCCTCTCTGCACAACCAGCTAGCCTGCGGGTGAGCAGTGTGAGTGTGGTGCGGTCTGACCACTCCAGTATATGTGTGTCCTGGAGGCCCGTACCAGCTGTCAGTGGTTATCGCATTGTCATCCAGGCTCTCAGAGGTACCAGCTCTGAAATAAAGCATCATTAACTGTTTTTTGGAAAAAGTTCTGAACAGGCAGTTTGTTTTGGGTAATTTATTTCTCTCTCTCTGTCTGTCTGTCTTTCTCTCTCTATGTTTGTGCTCAGATAAACAGACTAAGGAAGACAAAGTAGATGCTGCTAGCAGCAGCCACTGTTTCTCTGAGCTGCAGCCTGAAACTGTCTACCGCATCAGTGTGCACTCCCATCTGGGAACAGTAGAGGGCACTGCGGTCACTATCCTTCACCCTACAGGTCAGAATCCTGTTGGAGACATACTTCAGCCTAAAAAATATCTGATGTTATGTTTTGCTCAATTGTAATAGCATGTAATTCTCTCATAAAGCAACCGCTCCAGTGAGAATTCAGGTTCCTCCTCAACTGCATCCCATACAAAGAGAAGGTAAGAGTTGCAACAGTTAAGGCCTGTTCACACCAAACACAAATATTTCCATGAATATTCAGCGTGACCAAGATGTTGAAACAATGCGCACTTTTTTCATCTATTCATAGCAAATAAATTAATTTGACAACAGAACAAAGCTGTTTGGTGAGTGGATCGATTCTTCATTCAGCAATGTAAACATAAATGAACTGAAAGCAATTCACTTTGCTTTTCTACTTCACTTCTGGTGTGAACAGGCCTTTACGCTGCTTGTGGTAAAAACAGCTTTCTTCAAAGATAACATGGTGACTTTCTTTCCTTCTCAGTGTGTCCTGAGACAACAATCAGAAATCATGTGGTTAAAGGTATGGTCATATTTATATTTTACACTTATGCATTTGGCAGATGTTTTATCTAAAATTACTTAAATGGAATTTTAGGTGTACATATGTTCAATTCATGCATTCCCTGGGAATCAAATCAACGACCTTGGCATATGTCAGACATTGTATCAGACATTGGCATGCTCTACTTTTGAGCAAAGTTTTGCAGAGTAACAACCAAGATTATAGCCTACTACTTTTCTAAGAGAGCAACATTGTGCCACTGCAGGGCTCAACAGCAAGAATTGTTCTGTTTGCCCAGTCAGGCCAATACTTCATAATTTCACTGGTGCCCAACACACACACAAAAAAATTATATATTGAAGAATTAAATGTTTGATGATATATTTCCATTTATATATTTTTTATTTCTTATTTTAATACATTTATAATTTAATATTATAAATGTATTAAAAATATATATAATAGTTATTTTGAGCTCTGTACCATGTAAAAAAAACATGAATTTGTGTGTGTGTTTTCTAGGCTTCGACATGATGGAAGCATTCGGTCTAACTCCGAGAGCTCACTCTACTATCGAGGGTGTGGCAGCTGAACCTTTCATCTTCAGCACCTTACCCAGTTACACCCTCTACAGAGACGTACAGCTGACCCAGAGCACAAGGTGAGAAACACAAAACACATACATGCACATATTATTAAACAGCTCAGTTACACCCTTCATTCAGTGCTCACACGCTGTCTGTCTCAGCTTCATCCACCCGGCTGGCTTTTCTCCAGAACACACCATCAGCATGGCCTTCAGGCTCTTGCAGGATTCACCCAGGGAGCCCTTCGCCCTCTGGCAGCTCACGGACAATGACTTCCAGCCCAAGATGGGGGTGGTGCTGGACCGTGAGTGCCTGGACATTTCTGTAGATAAAATTCTAGAATGGCTCCAATTCAGTAGCAGGGCTATTGAATTGTAAATCCCAAGTTCATTAGATCCTTATTCTCTGTTCTGTCATTTAGCTGAGAAGAAGGTTCTGCTGTATTTCAGTCTGGACTACAGAGGAGAGATACAAGAACTGACCTTTGACCAGCCACAAGTCCACTCAGTTTTCTATGGCAGCTTTCATAAGGTTTGTGTGAAAGTTTTTTTGGTTACTGTCGATCAGTCAGACAAGCTTTACAGAATGTCCCATAGGAATGAACTGGAGATTTTCAACAATGATGGTTATTATTTGTACCATCAGCCATTTCACTTTAAAAATGTAACTTGAAATCATAATGTAGGCAAACACTTCTCAACATCAACTAAAAAGAGAAAACCCTAATTTGAAAGTTTACATTTATTTATATATTTGATAGATTTTTTTTCAGTGTATTTTGGAGAATATCCATATAATTGTTTAAAAACTGTCCAAACACACAGATCCTCTAGCAACAGTTTCGAGGAAAGGATTGGTCAGTAATGTTTTACAACAGGGCTTAGCAAAGAATCAGTTGAGTACTTTGAGTGAGGGAAGAAAAGAAATACGACATTTAAACTGCCACTGATTCTTCTCATCTCTTTAACTGATTGGCAGATCCATTTGTCCGTCAGTCAGGTGAGTATATCTCTGTCTGTAGACTGCCAGCGGGTTGGCGAGAGGCCCGCACGCCCCCTGGGAACTTTGCCCACTGATGGTTTTGAGATGTTGGGCAAACTAGTGAGGACACGTGGACCTCACAGTGGATCTGCGGCTGTGAGTCTCACTTCATGACCAGAAACATACTGTGAACAGTAATGTATATACTGTATACATATTAAGTCCATGCATATTGTATTTTTCTCTAGTTTCAGCTGCAGTCCTTTGAGATTGTGTGCAACACTACTTGGGTATCAGAAGACAACTGCTGTGATCTGCCCTCACAGGTACATGATCAGTCTAGGTTGAGTTAACATATCAATATGGATGGCACTGAATAACATTATGTAGTGCAGGATGTCTTATTTTAAGTGTCGCTCTCTGTTCTCTAGAGAGATGAGGAGAGCTGTCCTGCCCCTGCTTATGAATGCACCTGCACCACCGACGTCCCTGGAGCACCTGGAGACACTGGGCCACCTGTGAGACTACAGCGCTGCATTTTTAAACTGACACAAACATTAGGAAGCTTGTGAAATCATTTTAGTAGTTGTTGGAATAATCAGTGTTATGATAATTATTGGTGTAATGATATGTTTGTATTCAGGGGAGACCTGGCCCTCGTGGGGAGAAGGGAGAAAAAGGAGAGGTGGGACAAAAGGTAAGGAAACTTGCATGCAAAGTTGGGTTTGAACCTACAGTCATTGTTAACCACTCATTTTAAAATGTAAAAATGTAAACAATTTAAAAGTAACTGTTTTCAATTTGAATATATTTTAAAATATAATTTATTCCTGTGATGGCAAAGCTGAATTTTCAACAGCCATTACTCCAGTCTTCAGTATCACATGATCCTTGAGAAATCTTTCTAATATGTTGATTTGCTGCTCAAGAAACATTCATTTTTATTATTAATGTTCAAAAAAGTAATGTTGCTTAATGTTTTTGTGGAAACCATGATACATGTTTCAGGATTCTTTGATGAAAAGAATGTTTAAAATGTCTTTACTGTCACTTTTGTTTCTGTTTCTGTCCCTTTTCTGCATCTCTCCAGGGAGAGGTGGGTCCACCTGGTAAATCGGGCCCTGAGGGCGGCTTTGGCGCTCTTGGACCCTCTGGTCCTCGGGGAATAACTGTAATGGGCAAAGTGGTATGCCTACACTTGTTCTACAGAAAAGATGTAATGTATATTAGCATTTGGAACAGATTTAAACCCTCTTTCTTTGTCTTCATAAGGGCCCACCAGGAGCAAGAGGGGAAAAAGGAGATATTGGAAGGCCTGGGAGCCAGGTGAGCTTCAAAATCCATCTTATAGGCCATGGTTGTAGCTGATCATAGTAGTGTTTTTTTTCCTCTGGAATATCTCACATTTTCTGCACTTTGTGTTCATAGGGTTTACCAGGGCCTCCTGGTCCAAAAGGTGAAGAGGGCATGGCTGGTCCTAAGGCAAGTCTCTGTGTGGTTTGAGGCAGTTATTGTCCTATTCGTGTTTGAAATGTTCAGTCTGTCATTCATCTTTCTGTCAATAAATTGCCCACAGGGCACCAGAGGAATGGAGGGTAATATCGGTAGCCCAGGAATCCCAGGACCAAGAGTAAGACAGCCATACTTGTATGCATTCAAGGAGTATCTCATACTGTACATGCTTTCACTGTACTCTTTTTTACATTTCTGTGTCTATACTTTGTAGGGTTTCCAGGGTATGCCTGGTCATCCAGGGCCAGTGGGAGAGAGAGGGCTATTAGGTTCTGTAGGGCCCACAGTGAGTAAAATTGTGCTATATTACTCTTTATGTCTTTCATCCATACATTCCAGCCAAGATAGATGTCCAGAAAGCATTTGATATATTTGAAAAAATTTGGATAGAAATTGGCTAATGTTAAGTAGATGTTCCAGATTATTTTTTTTTCTCTTTCATAGGGTCTTTCTGGAAGTAAGGGTGAGAGAGGAGAGAAGGTGGGTTACAAAATGACATCTTTGCTATATGCAAACCTTAAAATAGATTTTTTGTTTGTTTTAATAGTCCTTCTGTTTATTAGGGTGAGCCACAGTCTCTTACCATGATCTACCAGCTTGTTACACAGGCCTGCGAAAAACTTGTGCACAGTAAGTTGTATATTCACCACATCCATTTTAATTAAGTCACAGTAAATGCAGAATTTAAAAGCATCTTTAATGGGAATCTTGGCCTGAGTAACGGCATATCAGTTATAATAAACTGTCCTAGATGAAGTCCTGAAGTTGGATGCTTTTCTGAACGAGATGAATCGAAAGCCAGTGCCCATCCAGGAACCAGTAGCACCACCAGGAGAGCCTGGGATACCAGGGGGAAGGGGGCCACCTGGATCCCGAGGCCCTCAGGGTCGACAAGGAAGCAGAGGAGAGTCTGGGAAACCAGGGTACCCTGGTGAGCAGGGTAAGCCTTGACACTTTCATTTCTTTGGAGATGCAATCTGCTAGGCAAACACCCACATCTGATGGTTGCCATTAGACACATTAGTGTTTTTATTGAAATTCTGTATTACGTTATGTAAATAGTTCTGTGATTCACTTATAGGACGCAGAGGGGTGGCTGGTGAGAAAGGCTCTCCAGGAGCAAATGTGGTGGGACAACAAGGAATAAAAGGTTTTGCAGGTATTGAAACATATTTGTGTATCCCACAGCTGTGTTTGTAATTTTTTAAAGGGGTCTTCATTATTTATGTTATCAAATTTAGGTTTCTGTATCAAAAGTATCAAAAACATTGCAAATATATATTTTTAATTAGTATTTTTGTCTTGTTTTCAAATAAAATATCTAAAAAAACTCGTTTGAAACAAGATAAATTTACCTGAGAGACACAATAAAGTAGTAAAGGAGTCTCTTCTGCTCACCAAGGCTGCATTTATTTAATCAAAAAATACAACAAAAACTAATATGTAACTGTGATACACTTTTTTTCAGGATTCTGTGATGAATAGAAAGTTCATAGGTCAGAACTCTTTTCAAAAGTGTCTTTACTGTCACTTTTGATCAATTTAATGCATCCGTGCTGAATAAAAGTATTTTTCCTTTAAAAAGAAATCTTACTGACCTCAAACTTTTGAGCAGTAGTGTATATCTTGAATAATTTTTTTTTTTTTTACATCACTGGCATATTGTTTTTATTTGTCTTTGATTAAAACCCTAATCAAATTTAGTGAATTTATGATTAAAACATGAAAAACTATGCACAATAGGGATTTGAAAAATATATTTTTTCTATATATTTTTTTTCTGAAAATTATTCCTGTTATTTTATATACGTTTTCTTTTACACAAACCCAAATGATATCTTGTAATGATTTGTTAAGTGTTAATTGAACCACTATTTATTTCTACTTCACCAGGACCTCCAGGTGAAACTAAAATAGGGGAACCAGGTTCCAAAGGTGAGGATGGTAAAGCAGGACCTCTAGGTATTCCAGGAGCTTCAGGTCAGCAAGGAGAAATGGGACCCCCTGGTATATGTGACAGCAGTGGATGTTATCAAGGACCCCCAGCTGCAGGTAAAAAATTGTGTCATTGTGACCACCATAAAAAACAGTGTAAGTTCATGTCTGACCTGTGTGTAAAATTACTGTTCATATAATTTTTCAGAGGATCCCTACCTTGGATACCAGCCTTGAGTTGAGAAGTTACTGTTTTACTGCAGCACTGCCAGAATAATCTCTCTGCCCAGACTTTGTAGAAAGACACTGTGTGACTTAATGGATAGAGATTCTGCCAGACGCTGACTTTGAATGAGACTGCTGATGGACTCTTTTGACTAGATTTTCTCCTTGTGGTAGCTGATCTCAGCTCAATGCTTCCATTCTGAGATCACCAAAGCACTGTGACCCTGTCTTTTACCCAGTATTCAACCTGATCTACTGCTACGAGACTACAGTAGATTCATGTGCAGAACTTTTTGTGCAGCACAGAGGAAATCACAACACACTCAGACTCTATTTTACAGAGATATTTTGGTATCCAGACAAGGAACTAGTGTTACCGAACAACTGCTAAAATCCGCACTAAGACTGTTTCTAATATTTAACTTTAAGTATTTTATTGTATTTAATGCACTTTGTGTTTTAAATTTATATTGTTGAAGGCATATTACTTTCAATGTTCTCCATTCTTGTTTCTTGACCGCTTACTTTGTTTTTTTGTATTAAGTGTTTTGTTTCAAAATATGAAATAAGCAAAGTTTTGCAAGAGCTATACATAGGTTAATATGAAATACACTGTGATATTATATTAATTGTCTTTATACATATGCAGAAGTGCTGTCCATAGTATTTTATTGGATTATACTAAGTGAACTGGTCTTTTGTTTTTGTGTTAATACATGTAAACGTGTATGAAATGAAACTGTTAAAGATCAAAAAAGTTGACTCACCTGAGATCCGTCATGCTGCGTCAATGAAATGGTTGCTATTCACATTCACTGAAAAACATTAAGAAATAATGTATAAAAAAAGATAACTGCTGTTTACAAGAATACCATTTTCACAAGCGTAATTTCAGTATGTAATAACAGCAGTGAAATCACTCGTAACGTGGCATCATTTTCATCAATCTTTCAAAAGCAAACATATTTTTTGATGTAATATAGTTTCAGATGCCTTGCTGGACCTATTAAATCAACAATACAATCTGAGTATTTCATGGGGAAACCTTTTATTTCAATGTAAATGGCATGCCAGTGCAATAAATAAAAATGTTCATCGTTATAATTGCCGCAACCTGCAAATAAATTATTTTTCCATTATTATTATTATTTTTACGGGGTGTGCCCATAATAGGGTTAATTACTATTGTAATGTTGGAGTCTCAAGACTTTATCCCAATGTGCAGTGTATCTAACATGCAACTTTCCTGTAAATTGAAGCGATTAAACCTAGGGTTTTGTGACTAAATTGTATTGTACGGACACATTGCGCTGTTATTGTACAACTGTCCAAAACAATTGTTGGATGATCTCAGTATTTGAACTGGTGAAATATATGCTCCGGAACCAAACGATGGAGCTGGTGATTTCTACGGACAACGTACCTGATGTAAACATCCGGTGTTTATTACGTCGGAGACGCCGACATGGCGAGCAGGAGAGGTAATGCGAAGACCGGGGAGCAGGCTGACAAATATTCTGTTCTGCTGCCAACCTACAACGAGAGAGAAAACCTCCCATTGATTGTGTGGTTGCTGGTGAAGTACTTTGGAGAGAGGCATGTGTGTTGTTATTTAAAGTCGATGGGTGAGAATCGGAATACAACCAATTGTCAGACTGTAGAGTCCTAATGATGAGCTGTCAGTGACTAAGATGAAGAGTCGCTAAGCTGAACGTAGATATTTCGTTGATTTTTAAAAAGCGTTCTTATTCAGTTGGCCGTGTTTTAATGCAGTGGATACAACTACGAGATCATAGTGATTGATGATGGCAGTCCAGACGGAACGCTGCAGATCGCCGAGCAGCTGCAGAAGATCTACGGCGCTGACAAGATTGTGAGTTGTGCATTATGATACACACCACATGACTGACAGCTTGTCGAAAGAAATCATGAAAATCTAGCATCTCCCTTCTTTTTTTAGCTCCTGAGACCGCGAGCAAAAAAACTGGGATTAGGTAAATTGGCTCATATTTACGAATACTTCTGATAGCTATAGAAATAGCGTGACTGAGCTTCATGTCATTTCAGGAACGGCTTACATCCACGGCATTAAACACGCGTCAGGAAACTTCATTATCAGTATGGATGCAGATCTCTCGCATCATGCAAGTACTCTTCCATTGTATACTGTTTTGTACCTCCTTGAGTAAATCCTGATATTCATGGTGCCCACGGCCGTGGAAATACTGAGATAGTTTCATATATTTCTCTTGGATGGAGTACAACATGCCAACAAGCCTTATTGATATTGAGAATCATTATTTTGAGTCGTTCTTTTCAGTGAATTTATCTAATGAATCTTGCTTTGGTAAACCATAATTATTGAGATAAAAAAAAGTCCTAATTATATGAATTCAAAATTGTGAGAAGCTGTCATAATTATGAGAAAAAAGCCTTGATTATGAGATACTAAGTCATTATGAGATCAAAAGTCATAAAAGCCATAATTATGACAAAATTTAGACTTTTATCTCATAATTAAATTTTCTTTCGTCATTTAGTAGCTCCTAATCAGGTAATTTTTTATGTCATAATTTTTTTTTTTTTTTGGCCTTCCATAGAATCAAAGCAGTTCTGAAAATTAGTCTTAACGACTCCTTAGAGAAATAGTAAATTCATTTTAGAAACCACTGGAAATGTCATGGAAATCAATTTGTTAAAATGTTGGATAGCTTCAAGCATGTTTACTCAAAAGTATCAGGAATTTAAAATGAATCATTTGTTCCTGCTTTCACCAAGTGTAAAACCTTCAGGAGCATTTGGGTACATTAAGTGTTGTTGTTTTTTTCTTCCTCACAGCCAAAGTTTATCCTACAGTTCATTGAGTAAGTCATTTTCTTTCAATTACCTTATGCCTCTACTGTTAAAATACTTTTTTATCTGCTCATTGTTTTGTGTAGTGTACCTTTACTATAATAGCATTATCATGTGCACTTGTATAGCAGCCACTTTCATGGATTTTTTTATTTGTTCAGAAAACAGAAAGTGGGTGGCTATGACCTGGTGTCTGGCACAAGGTACAGAGGAGACGGTGGTGTTTATGGGTGGGATCTGCGCCGGAAACTTATCAGGTATGTGACCGTAAACTTCAGCTGACTACAGGAACTACGTTTTATAATATCCATCTATATTAGAAATTTGAGACTGTATCTATTACTGCCATATATACATACAGTGGGTATAGAAAAGAATCACCCCCTTTAAAATAAAATTTTGTTGCTTTGCAACTTGAAATGAAGACGGACACAGTTTGTGTTTTATCCAGCTGTATTTACATCCAAGTGAAAGATAAAACACCAACATGTCAGAAAAAAAATAAAGAAACAGAATCACTGAGTTGGAAAAAGGATTACCCCCTTTTGTCAGTATTTTGTTGAACCACCTTTTGCTTTATTTACAGCCTTTATTCTGTTGGGATATGTGTCTGTCTTTACTAACTTTGCACATCTAGACGTTGCGATATTTGCCCACTCTTCTTTGCAGAACTGCTCAAGGTCAGTTCAATTTGAGTGTTTGTAGACTGCAGTCTTCAAGTCATTCCACAGATTTTCAATGGGGTTTATGTCTGGGCTCTGACTAGGCCATGCGAGGACATTCACCTTTTTCTCCTTCATCCACTGTGTGGTCAGCTTTGCTGTGTGCGTTGGGTCACTGTCATGTTGGAAGGTAAACCTTCTTCCCATTGATAACTTACTGGAAGAGGGCAGCAGATTTTCCTCAAGACGGTATTTTGCCCCATTAATTTTTCCTTCTATCCTGACAAGTACTCCAGTCCCTGCTGCAGAGAAACACCCCCATAACAGGATATGACCACCTCCATGCTTTACTGGAGGAATGCTGTTATTTGGACGGTGAGTGACAAGATGCGCATTAAATATCGCATGGGATTTATCGTGCAGCCCTAGTTGAAAGTCTAATGGCTTGGTGTGCCATTGGGTCTGTTTACACCTGGTCACTTCATGCGTTTTTTCTGATCTGATAGCTATCCGATCGTGAAAAGACCAGGAGTAAATGCCCTCCGAAACACATTCGAGACGGATATAAATCCAATCACTCAAACCACTTCAGGAGGTGGTCTGGCCCGCATTCCAGACGAAACTGGACAAGCGTAAATGCATCTGGTTGTTGAAACCACATATGTAAATTTTACTCCTCCCAAAATGTTAAAATAATAAACGTGTGAGAGCGTGTTATAGGCTATATGACATTAGTCAGACTGCGCTAATGCAACATGCACCGCTGCGGACGAGTAGCTGAGTATCTCTTCAGCAAGCCGACGCACAAACTGCCGCGAATGAAACTGAAAGTAATATGCAGACGGTCAACACACAATCATCTTCATTAAAAATAGTAAGACAAACTTATATTTCCAGTGCTGATGCCACGCGTTCTTGATAAAGCCTTTGAATTTTTTTTGTATCCGTCTCCTTACTTGTGCCTGTCCACAACTTTGTCCCGGAGATCTTTTGACAGTGCCTTGCCACCCATAGCTGATTGTTTGCTTCAGTTGCACTACTGAAATGCTCCAGTGATTTCGTTGACGTGAACTCCGTTAAGTTTATATATAGCTCGGGAATTGAAGATCTTATATCCGTTTAGCGACAACACATTTATGTGGCCAAGTGTAAATGGAAATGTTTTAACAAATCCGATAGATATCCGATCAGCGAAAACGCATGAAATGACCAGGTGTAAACAGGCCCATTGAGAAGGTGATTAGCTACACCTGATTGAGTTTACAAGTAATTTTAGGAGGGGGTGATCCTTTTTCCAACTCCATGATACTGTTTTTTTTATTTTTTTTCTGACATGTTGGTGTTATATCTTTCACTTGGGTGTTATAAGGTGCACTGAGTAAAAACAGCTGGATAAAACAAAAACTATGTCAAAATGTGATTATTTTAAAGGGGGTGATTCTTTTCTATAGTCACTGTACATATCACATATCACTTTATGTATAATTGATTTTATGGCACAAGATTAGTTTTTTGGAATGATTGTTTCCTTTTAGTCAAGGTGCAAACTTTATCACACAAGTGCTGCTCAGACCAGGAGCATCTGATCTCACGGGGAGTTTTAGGTAAGGGCATGTTAATAAATCAATCATTGTTCTTTTTTTTTTTTTTAAATATTGTTTTTTTATATTACAATATTGTATTACTGTCTCCTATCATGTGTTCTGCATTTCAGGCTCTATAAGACAGAGGTTCTTGAAAAATTAGTAGAGCAATGTGTGTCAAAAGGCTATGTGTTCCAGATGGAGATGATTGTCCGTGCTAGACAACTGGGCTATACTGTTGGAGAGGTCAGCACGCGTCTCTCATTCCACATTTCTTATAAATCTTGTTATCCTTTAAACAAATAAAATATAGTTTAGATAATGCATTTACATAATAGGACTGTGAATTGTATTACTGTATTATACTGGAACTGTATTACATTTAATACATGCATTCATTTATACATTCATGTTAAGT